GCTGGCAATGCCCCTACTTATACAGCCCAAAATGCCGTTAGCCTTCTTGGCAACAAGAGCACACTGTTGACTCATATCCAGCTTCTCGTCCACTGTGACCCCTAGGTCCTTTTCAGCAGAACTGCTACCTAGCCATTCGGTCCCTAGTCTGTAGCAGTGCATGGGATTCTTCCATCCTAAGTGCAGGACTCTGCACTTGTCCTTGTTGAACCTCATCAGGTTTTGAAACCGGCTGCCAACTAGACATGGAGCCGTCACTTTGAAGTATGAGTGAATCAGGCACTCATACTTCAAACAGTCAAAAAAATCACAAGTCAGGCCTCCAGAAATATGAGATTTACTCAAAAATCATGAGATTTTTTTTTAAAATGACACATTTTTGGGTGCTTTTCTTAGGCTCTGAGTTTCTGAAACAGGGGGCGCGCTGCAAATTTTCAAGCTTTTCTCTCCAGGCACGAAGGCTAGAAACGAACTTATTTTAAAAGAATGAAAGCTGAGATTCTCCCATAATAACATGACACAAGAACTGGGGCTTTTAAAAAACACTCAAAAATTTCATGAGACTAATGCTAAAATCGTAAGAGTTGGCAACACCACATGTATAAGGAAAATATGGTATAGAGTGAAGATTATTATTTATTTGTATAACTCTAGCACCTGGGAGCCCCAGTCATGGACCAGGACTCCATTGTGCTAGTCACTGTATAAACACAGACTAAAAAGATGGCCTCTGAGACTGTTTACAAACAGACCAGGGAGCACAAGGACACAATGGGACAATACTGGTCAGCACGATAGATAGTGATCACAGCAATAGATGACATATGCCCTGAATTTGGCCACATGGCTCAGAAGCCTGTGGCTAACAATCCCACACAGATGTGTTCCTCCAAGTATCTCAGAACTCAAGCTCAGTCACAGAGTCTTGGGTTTCATCATTTACAATGTCATAGTAGGCAGGTCAATGACCTTTAGAACATATTTCAGAATAAGCATCTGTTATGCTTCTTCTAATGAGGGGGTCTTGCTGCCACAGGGAGCTTCTCTCCACCACTTAGAGTATTGATTACTTGCCAAAGCCACTTACGCATTGATGTGAATCTGCTAAGAAATGGCAGGATTGATGTCAAGCATTTGATGAGGAACTCATCAACTTGGGCTGTCAAAACAAAAAGAAAAGACACGTATCATTTTAAAGTGTTATGATCCATAACCCAATTATAGAATATTTTATTTTTCAAAGATATGTGCATGTATGTGCACACACACATCTGTATGTGCCTAAGTTATGTATGTAAGCACCCAGAGTGCATGCATATTGTTGTATGTTTCCCATCCTAAAATATTATTTAGTGTTGCTGTATGCTGTTAAACATATGCCATATATCACTGCAGAGGTGGCTGCATTTCTGTGGCCAGTATAAATATATACTATGTAAAGCATCATGGCATGAAAGATGCTATAAAGAGAGGAAGGATGGTCTTTAGGTTAAAGCACTAAACTAGGATTTAGGAGTCCTGGGGTCAATTCCCAGTTCTGCGCACAGACTTCTTGTATGCAAGTCATTTGAGATAAAATTTTCAAAAGCCCTAATAACTAGGATTGTACGACCCATTGAAAGTGAATGGTACCTAGGCGCCTACATCACTTAGGCACTTATGAAAATTTTACCCTAAGTCTCACTGTGCCTCACTTCCTCATTTGTAAAGTGAGGATTATAATATTCCTTACATCACAGCGGTTTTGTGAAGTTTAAAGATTCAGTGTTAGTTAAGTACTTTGAGACTAAAACTGCTAAGTAGTAATATATTTTGATGACGCTACAGCAACAACAACAACAATAAACATTCAGCTTGTCTCCCTTTGTACGCCAGTTTTACACTGGTGTGAGTTACTCCAGATTATACCAGTGTGAATGAGGGGAGAATCAGGCTCAGCTTTTTATACCAACAATCTTCATTGTTCCTACATCTGTTTTAGAAAATCTTCACAGTTTGGCTGTCTGTATCCACAGGTGAAATACTGTAGACATGGGTTTAATTTTCTACTGATCAGTGCAGAATTTTAGTTTTGTCTCTGCAGTATAAAGGGAAGCAAAGACTGCACCGAGCCACTTTTACGCCGCAAAAGTGAATGGCTACTACCTAGCTTTAGCGTTCCTGTGTGTGTGATTGTTAAATGATATGCAACCCAGAAAGCCCCTCTTTAAGGCCAGGGCTTGAACATCCAGAAGAATGTCCCTGTTCTGTCATGGACAAGAAGCTGTTGACAAAGACTGGAAACTTCGACTTGTAGAAGATGCAAGTAGAATCCCTTCTGCCAGGTAAGGGTGCATCGGGACTTATCCTTTTTAAAGGAGGCAGATACATAGACTGCCGATGCAGTTCCACCACTATCACCTTGGTTGTGTGAGGACATAACCTAAGCTGCCCCCTTATTTCTTGCACCCACAACGCAACTAGGACCCCAACTCTGTACCATTGTTACCCAACCTTGCCCAACATCTGTCATAGTACTGGCATAGTACTGGCATAGCTAGCCCTTGAAGAGGGCAACCACAGCCAAAGAAGCCCAAAAGTAAGCAAAGATATGGACCTTAACAAAACCCATCTGCACATTGCCTACCCATGTCTCCACATGAACACACATTTATCATAAGCGAGGAAAAGTCTTTTTGCTTTGGCTGCAGGCCCGTTCACCTAATAAATATGCACAGGAACAACCCTATCCATGAGAACAGCACTATTTTTACTATTATTCTTGCCTCTTCTATTGCTCACCTGCTCAGCTGGCTCTCTGGCCGTTCCCTTCACAAGACCCCTGTTGGGGAAGTATTGCTCCCATTTTACAGATGAGGAAATGTAGGCCCCAAAGTGAAGACACTTGCCACGCAGGCAGTTGGTGTTGAAGCTGGGATGAGAAAGTACGAATATTTACTCCCTTCCCTAGAGGGACAGGAATTGCCAGACTAGATCAAACCAGTGGTCCATCTAGTTTAGTATCTTGTCACTGAGAGTGACCAGTATCTGATGTAGTCACTCTTTATATAAATGGTATATTTATACATTGTTTATACAGGGTTGATAAATGATGAATAGATCTTTTGACAAATGTTTACTCAAATATTATAGATTGCTTTAGAATCCAAAAGGCCAATAAGATGCTTATAACCATGCCTTATATCATTCTATTACATCTACTAGTGTCCTTATAGGTTTCAGAGTGGTAGCCGTATTAGTCTGTATTAGTAAAAACAACGAGGAGTCCTTGTGGCACCTTAGAGACTAACAAATTTATTTGGGGATAAGCTTTTGTGGGCTAAAACCCACTAATAGTAACCTGTAACACACACCTGTCATGTATTTAATGTGCTTGTAACATCTATTAATCATTTATAAAAGGACCCTTAATATCAGGGTTTGACACCTAATTCTTCAGATTCCTGTTCTTTCATGGTTGTCTGGGTTGTTTTGTTGCTCTAACTGCTCAAGGAAAGTCTATTCCATGAACTGGGCTTTTACTCCAACCCCTCCATGGAGTTGTGACTGTCAAGACTGCAAAGGTAGTAAGGCTTAATGGTTTAAAAAGTCTATCCTTTTGATTTTGCTTGGCTGTAACAAAACCATAGGCAAGAGTGAGACAGAAAAAAAGAACAAGAGACTTATTCCTATTATGTTAGCCAGTATTAAAACTGGCTCCATTGGACATGCTGCCTTTTTTCAGTCTCTCTTTTCTCACGCCTTGGCAGATTGTGACTCTTGAGAATAATTTGCTAATTTTCGGCAGGGTCACTTTTTAGTCGCCGCAATCAATGCCAACCTGATACAGCATAGATAGGTTACCCAAAGCAAGAGCCCGTTAGCCATATTAATATTTGCTGCTGGCTGCGGTTATTGATCCTTCTTCATGACAGTGAGGTTTTACTGGGAAGCTTGTGGGAGACGTTTTGGCGGTGATATTGATGTATTGAGAAAGTCGCCTGGCTAATGGGGTGAATTTCCATGTCTGTGGGGTCTGCCCTTCAATCATTTCCCTGACTCCCTGCAAGTCCCCCTGCGGAGGCATCAGACCTTCTACTTCTCCATCGCCAGGGCTGACAAGAGGTCCCTTTAGACTCCTCCACTCTGCTGTAAAGGGGGTGGGGATTTTCACTCAGAAGACTTAAAAAGGGAACCCCAACTTGCAACCAGATCAAATCTCTTTTAACACACAATCCTAGCTCATCCTATCCAAGACTACTGATTTACAGGGGAACTAAGTATGAAGGTAAGTCAGAAGCTTTTGATACTTGGAAATATTTTGATAAATAGTAGTTTCTCCTACAGTTTTAGTTGTGTGTATTATTTTAGGAACAACAGGGGGTGGTTTGTAAGGGTTTTTTTTTGTTAAAGTTAGAAAACAAGTACAAATGTTATAATGATTTTCAGTGTACTGTAAACCAAAGAGATTAAACTATTAATAGCACAATGACTTCTAAAACAGACAGGATCAAATAAACATCTGTGAATCATAATAGCTGTGTGCTATCACTTACTTGTCACATGTATCAATGCATGAAAAACAAGGCTTGCTTTGTGTATACAAACTAGAGATTCGGCTTGCTTTACATAGGATTTGTGTTTGGTATATTCATTTGCAAGTGCTGGGTCAGTGTGCAAAACCCAAGATTTTAATATGTGTTTATAATAACATTTGTATGATCAGTCAATATCCTGGTTGATGTAAATCTCACACCAAGTTTAACAACGTTTACTTACCAAGAAAGCAGTGATCTGCCTTACTGTTTTTGAAATGCCAAGTCCCCTATATTGGAATATAGAAATATTTGCCTATCATCTCATTATCATCCAGGGTTTAGTGAAAACTGGTGATATATATTATCTAATCTCTCTCTCTCAATCTGGGTTTATAGACCATGTCCATCACCACAGTGTCTGAGGAGCTTGCATATTTGTAAAAGAAAGCACACAAAGTTCTCATGTCAATGGTAATTTACATCCATATGTGAACTTCACATGGTTTGATATTAATTTCCAACCTCTCCTTAAATTTGATGTGGCTTGGCTGAGATGATATAATCAGTGGAAGAGAGGGGCTTTAGAAGCCAAAGGGGTCTGGAATAACATCAGAAGATGAAGCTGAGCAGAGAGGATGCCTGAACAGAGAGGATGCAATTTCTCATGTGTTTGTGGTTGCTTGTCCTGTGCAGGGATTGCGTAGATTGACAGCTTCTGCCATGGCCCTGTTCCTTGCAGCTTCTTTCATCTCTTACTCCTGGAGTGCTCCTCAGGTAAAGTGCTTTCTCTGAATGAATGTACATGCATTAATAACTCTCACAGGTGGTTGTTGGCAAAGTGGTGGTGCTTGTTGTTAGTGACAGGGCTGTGGTAACAGGTCACTTTTCTCTCCTTTGGTGTGAAGGGTCACTTCCAAAGAAGAAACTGGACTCCTCAGGCTATGCTCTATTTAAAGGGTGCACGTAAGTCCCAAGCTATTTCAGCTTTCAGGAATGTAACTTCTCTACCAATGGATTATTCTTTATATGCTTTGTTCAACACAAGCAGAAAACTGAGCGGTGTTAAATAGCAGGGCAGGGGAGTGGAGATGGAAACTCAGAGGATCATAGGGATGTGTTGACTGTGCCGTCTTACCTTAAAAACATTGCTATTGTTTTTTGTGAAGAAAAACAATTGTAATTTTGGAACAAAAAATGCTTAAATGTTTCCAAAGGGAATGTAATTACGGGTTGGTTGTTAAATCTGCTGGAAAAAATGACTTTCCCCTCTGAAACTGATTTTTAAAAGACTTAACATACATTTGATATATTTAATTATTCCTTGTTCTCTCCTGTGCTTTATTAAAGCATCTCCACAAACAACAGGGTAGCAGAATTTTCTAATGCAAACCTTTTGGCTTGTGCTGGAAATTCACACTACAAGAGACATCTGCTATGGAGGATGGAATGGCAGTGTTACCTATTTCTTGGTAGTGCGTTGTGTAAATCTAGTTTTCTTAGTCCAGCGTTAAAGGGATAGTGCTTAATAATCAAATTTGGATCCAAATTGAAATTTCGTGGTTTAAAGAAAAAAACTAAGATCCAATGGAAATTTTACCATTATTTTAAACAATTCAGTGGAAACTTTTTTTTTTTAAACAAAATAAACATTTTGGATTGTGTTTGCCACCCAAACAATACAACGAGAACCTAACAGTAAACCTTCCTACAGACCAAAAAAAAAAAAAAAAA